CTGACCTTGCTTTGGACCCACAATAAATTTCTTATCTTGACTTAAGCAGTTAAGAATGATTAATTTTTTTTCTTTTATTATTTGTGTTTGTGTTTGAGTCAGTGTTTTGACAACTTAGATTAATTTTCCAAAGCCGGCTAGCGTACATTCCTACAATGAATAAAAAGCGTGTACTTTAGGGTTAGAAGTCATTGAGAATAAAAGAGCCGGAAAATGATCGATCAGTGTTAGAGTCAGTCGACCAGAGTAACGTGAATTTGATTTAAGTGGGATTGTGTTACAGAATAGAGATTAAAGAAGACAGAAAAGGACAGGTCGAGAGTCTTAAGTGCCTTTCAATAAACTAGGTTCGCTGTTAAGCTAGTTTTCCCCATTACCGCCACCCAACAGTAGTAATTTACTTTGTATGAGGCATAATTCAGTTGTAAGCTTAATCTGTTTTTTTAATTATGATACGGACAGGGATGTCTCTTTATTTTCCCTCATTGTTACTTTTTTTTTTCGACCAGTTAGCTGAAATGGATTGAGTTTTTGAATTATCTTTCATCGTTAATACAACTATTCACTGAAATAGGTTTGATATTGCCACCTTCTAATCTGTCTTGTTTCTTTATGAAAGTGTCAGTAGTGAGACAAAAAATGACAATCAACCGAAAGTAAGTAAAATATCAATTTTTCTTTTTACTCTTGTTACAGTTGATCGCCAATATGTTCAAATAAAAACGCTGCTTTTAACCAGTGCAAACCATGCTAATGGTGAAATCGATTCAGTGAGGATTGATCCCGCGACATTCATTCAGCCACTCCATAGTATACATGCCAGTCATTGGATTTCTGTGTGTACTTTCTGACAGCAGCCTTTCCAAATCTTCCTTTTTTAATGGAAATGACGGTAACCGAGGTCCAACTAGAAGCTAGGAAAAAATGGCTGGGCGCTCTATCGTTGGTACTACTATATGGAATAACTGCTGGCGAGCATTGCATAATTTGATGTGATGCCTTTAGCTGCGTTGCAGTTATTAATTCTCTTACTCGGTTCATAAAAGCAGACGCCTAAAGATACATTCTGACTATAATTCAAATTCAAAGCTTGTCACTGATATTTAAGAAATAATTATCAAAAGCAAAAAGAAAATAGTTGATTTGGAGGTGGTAAATAGCTAACAATCTCGTATCCAAGAAGCGCAAATGTAATAATTGTTTGAATATTTGGAGCTTTTTTCCAGCTCCGCAACAGTTCAGTTCGGAATATGAGGTAATAAGCGGAGTTGAGTGAGCCAATCAGAACACTAGAAATGCAATATTCGGAGTTGAAATTAAATGATTGAGTATATTCTGAAAAATTTGACTAGAGGAACAACCAGAAAATAATTAAGGTTATTTCTTTCATCCCCACTGCTTCTTGGAATTTGCATTTATTGTTCATTCTATTGAATTCTTGACATAGGTACAAACGAGAGCTAGACATGACGAAGTCACACGATTTCAAAATATGAAAACTTGGCCAATATTATCATTATCTTGGGCGAGTTGATTGAGTAACAAAATATGACATACAATAATGACAGACCAATCAGAAGGCCGAAAACTATCTCAACTATTAAACACAATCGCGTAAATTGATGTTGTTTCTGAATATATTCTGCTTTGTGCTACCAAGAAAATGTTAATAGCACATAGTCAACAACATATTTGTCGAGTAAAGAGAACGTTGATATTTACCACTTTTATCATTGACTCGAGGAATAGCTGTTCAAGTGTATACTACTCAAACTAAATAAATTACAGACCAAAAAATTACTATATTTCTGACACTGAATGTAGTGTCAAGCAATGGAAAGTAAACTGGTGAAAATCCTGTCGTGCGGTTATCATTTATGATGTACGAGTTATTACTGGCCTGAAAATGAATAAAAATGCTAGACGCTCTTGTTTAATTGCCAAGGTGTTATCTTGTCAATGACTGTAGTTTTACTTTTTGTTCTTGTTTTCTGGTCTTTGAACAATTCTGTTGATTACTGCATGTTTTATCTTCACGTTTCGCAATTCCCAACAGTCTGCGGAAAGCAAACTACGATTTTTTGCGCTAGAATACGAGACTTCCTTCCCATTTTGAATATATATTTATGGCGCCTCGTTTATCGAAATGATTCTCCCTTTTTTTAGACGTAGCCAAACGGGAAGCTTATTTGTCTCAACGGTAGTTCCAAGGTAAAGATCATTTCCAAGCTGGCCAATCAGCGCGCTGATCTAGCATTATTCATTAGGTAGAAACTAATAGCCTCGTTGCATACTACACTGCTTGAATCATTTCAATAAAGCGTATTGTTTTCCCCTTTAATGGGTCATCCAGTCACATTTACACCTGCAGTATTAATAAAAAATAATTCTGCTCATGTGTTACGGATAAAAACAATTAAAACATCTTGACAGCAAATGACATCATATTTGGGAAGCTCTTCATGTCTGTCCTTCAGTCAGTCATTTGAGCACAACAGCTATGGCGAGCATGATTCGAACTGTATTTTTCACACTATTTTTTAGAAAGATTGGCACGGAGAACGTGGGTTTCTTTTTTTCCATTTATGAAAATCGCGCACTTAACACAGGAAGTAATTTACTAAGAAGCTCAAGTGCGAAAGATACAATGCTGTGTGCTCGGGCCTGTGCAACACAAATTAACTGTCAAACAGCAATCTTTCATTTTGATGAAAACAAATGCGAGCTTTATGAGAAGCGAACAGAAGACATTTTAAAGACAATGGTAAAGTCAGAAGGTCACCATTTGATCACAAAGGTAAGGATTGGAATCAGCAATCTGAAACAAGAAATTAAAGCCAACAGTGCAATCAAAATGAGCGATGGGCAGATCATTTATAACTTAAATGCAACTCAAATACGAATATCTAGGGATGGTTTTTCTTTCAATCTTTTAAAACCTAAGATGTCAAAAACCCTTGCAGATAACACGAGTTTACAAAAGTAAAAAAAAAAAAAGCACTCACTCATATTATTGTGTATTAATACACATGCATCGTTTTGAAATGGTGTTTAACTTGCCAGTTCAAGAGAAAATAATCACATCGCACTCCCTGTTTCTCTTCTTTAGGCTCCTATTTATATTAAACAAATTCGATTCTGGCCTCAGTCCGATTATGCATTCTATTGTAGTGATTTACTAGTTTTCATAACATAGAAAATATGCCTTTTTTTGCTGTGTTTCGGCTCAACAATGTACTCTATGTTCAGTGTAGCATACTGTCGATGAAATTGACCAAACAGTTAAACTAAGAACGTTATTGTTGAGAGAAAGTATTTGTGAAAAGATATTCTGGGCTGAGTTGCTTTCAGCATGTTATGTCCGCATGGATTTTGTTCACAATTCGTTCAGGTAAATGATTCAGAGTGGAATTTGGAATAAATAAGCGCCACTTGTAGATTTTCCTTAACCATAAAAAAAATTGTCGCGCGAACTCCTAGGGCGAAAACTTATCTGTCCGAGATTTCGCGAGAAATTCTAGAAATTACAAAAAATTCCGTCCATTTAATTACTTGTGAATAATGTACATCTAATTGAAACCTTCGGCGCTGTTTAGCCAATCTGCATGCACGGAAATCAGTGTTCATCGGGTCTCAAACGACCCGCCTTTCACCGATCCAACTTAAATGATAAAAAGATGCTCGTGTCGATGTATTTTTCCAGTTTATTACCATGACAACTTCTAAAATAGAAAAAAAACTTCACCAACCCCCCCCCCGCCCCCTCCAAGGGTCAAGGAAGATTGTTTCAAGTTTAGTCGGCAGATTGCAACTTTTTTTTTTTTTTAACTGAGTAGAATCGTTTTATCCACGCCGTTTCTGTAAATGAAATAACAAAACTGGTCATAATTCTACATACAAATTCATTAGCAGGAAAGTAGAAAAACCTCTTAATTTGTTCACCTGCACTTTGTGTCGATCTCCCCAAGATAATTGTTTTGTCACTTTTCAAGTGTAAATATTTTCATCTTTTCTCAGAGATTTTTGTTTTATCTAATGGCATCAAAAGGCAACTTACCACTGTCAAAAATATCACAGAAGGTAGTTATTAACAAATACAAGTGACTTTTCATTGTGATTCAGATTGTGATTTATTGTCATCATGTTATATAAAGACGACCCTTTTTAAATGACAAAGGCTCTGAAATTTTTTAGAAATGAATCTTAATAGAGCGTGTGATGATTCTTCTTAGAAAATTACGTGCCACCGGTTGAAAATCAATTCTATCTGTGAAAAATTCATTAAAATTGGCTACAGCGAAGGGCGACTGCTGGGAACCTCAGTTGACAACCGAATAACCGGTAATTGTTTTTCTTGTCCGCGGACGCAATAAAACAGTTTCCTCAAAAACTGATAACCGCGCATAATATTAACTTACTAAAGGCGTTTCCTGTGTTTGGATGTTTTGTTAAGATAATTTTACGGGTACCCATACAGATCTTTACATCTTTTCGAAAGTAAACTGACGAATTCAGTTTTTCAATATTTCTCAACAAACACTGAGACGTTAATCAAAGTATTTTTTCAGGTTAAGACGGTCCACTCTCCAGGAGTGATACAAGATCCAACAAGTAAGTTTCGCGAATTAAATTAAACGATGCTTATGTTTGCAGTATATCAAGTATACTTATCGCTAATAGAGGCTTTACACTTAATTCAGTCGACAGTTGCTTTAACTTTTATTCAGTCCATGATTCAGACTGAAATGTGCAGTTCCCATTCAGTTTTGAGTAGAAATGTATTGTGTAAAAGCTCACGGGTACCTTTACATCTGGGGGGGATCACCGGATATGTGCTAAGTTCAAATAGAAAAAACGCAAAGTGGATAATAAAACATACGTGTGCTGCGTTGAATAATCGTGTGAAAACTTCCTTGCTTACTCTTGGGAAAGAGCCAATTCTAAAATGTCATGTCGTTGTTCAAAGATCTCAACAACGGTAAGCGTTGTTTAGTCATAAACGTAGTTTTATTCTGAATCTTTCTTGGCCAGAAAATACCAGATTTTGAGGAGAAGCCAAAGAACTTTTTTTTCAAAAGAATTGAAAACATTATCAATCAAATTGGTTTAGTTTGTGTCACATCCCACAATGTCATCAAGTTTCAAAGTCAGATGACCTTATGTGAGAAAAATCAACAATTATTAAGTTTATTAGGATGACCGAAAGCTTTTTTGTAATTATCATAGGAAACGTAGACATAAATAAATAAACAATAGTAAACAAAGGAAAAGCGAGCAATGAAAATATCATGACTATTTTTGCTCCTCCTTGTATGGAATGTTAGTCCGTAGCAGTTTACCCCCCCCCCCAACCTAATTCATTTCACCAGCTTTCCCTTACAAATCGCCGAGGCCCAACATTATGATTAGCGGGGCAGGCCTCAAACCCCAACCTCTCCACCCAGCGTCCACTTCACTGACCAACAGGCCCGCGCGTTTAACCTAGTTTTTGGTTGTTTGACAATTTCAGTTCCAAGTCCTGTGTTTAGCTGGCTTCACTTTACACCTCAGTGGTGTAGCCTTGCAGGAAGGTCTGGAGAAAGGCTCGCCACTGGAACAACAGCAGACGAGTGCAAAGAGCTGTGTAAAGGAAACTGTCTGGGGGTAGAGTGGTGGGAGGGAACTAAATCCTGTTTTGAATGTACAGATCCTTCCAAGAAAGTCGTATATACCAGCACAAACGATAATGGCTACCCGCCTCATGTGTTCCTAAAGAGTCAAAATTCTTAAATTCACAAGTTAATTCACATGTGGCAGCTGTATTTCCTGCTACCTCGGCGGCAGTCGTCAACATTACAAGCTTCTGCGGGTACTTCTGTTCTAATAAGTCCTCTCAAGTCTTTCAAATCTCCAAAGTTTAGAACCTCGAAATCTTAACTAAAAATAAAGAAGGCCATGCACATCGAATGCAAAAAGCTCAGTTTTGATATGAACAATTAGTCAGTCAACTCCACCGACTTACTCTAAAAGCATTACAGATATTCGTAAGCTTTATATGTAATGCGTGCTTCTTTTGGTTGCCAGGTTGCTACGAGTTCTCTCGGACTTTGAATCGCGCTTTTAATAGACGAAAATCTGCACCAAACCCGAGCTAGCATTGACAATTAAAAAACATTCTCGTATTTTAAAATTTGTATTTTTATTTTCTTCTTTCTCAACCATATCTGTCAAGATATAACTAGCTAGAACCGTTTGCTAATCGTTAACTTATTTTGTTCTGCCTACTTCAGCTTCATGTAACTGCTTTTCCCAACAAACGCTGAGTCGGTGTGAAGAGACTGACTTTTCGCGTGTGAAGAGCAACCATAGCTTTTCTTTTTAAAAAGAAAATAACAAAACAACTTTCCGCCCAAGATGATTTACTTTGTGGCTTTTGGTGTTGCTGTTGTAGGGGGGTGACCGTCTGCACTAATAATGCAGTTTTACCTTTTGTTTGAGAGAATTAGTGTTGGAATTTAGGGTGGCACTTGATATAACACATGGTTTGTTGGAAACATCTGGATAACCATAATCAAAATTTTTAATCCAACAATTTAAATTTTCCAAAGTGAAAAACTGCTGCTCATATATAGCATATTTGAGGAGTTCTTTGACTTCATATTGAAGAAGCCCCTCAAGGACATCATGCATTGCATCACCGGAAGACCTTCTATGACATGGAAGTATCGTGACTGGTTCAGGGCTGATCTCAGATTTATTCCAAACTGTGAAGAAATGTCAATGACTGAATTTTCAATGGCTGTGCACTGCTGATCATACATTTCTTTGGTGCGTAATTGAAATCGTCTTCCACAAACTGTGGGAATAATGAGAAAGTTATTGGATTTCAACACCACTCTTCAATTACAAACTCTATAAGACACGATTTACAACACAGTTTTTTTTCATGGTAAGTCACAGGATCAGGTGGTTTAATCATTAATAGAGGGTATCTTTGGTTCTACATAGAATGGTTCTCACATGGCTGCTGGGAAAGTTAAGCCAAAAGTTATCACAATGAGCAAAAGCCTAGAAAAAACTTATGAGTAGGCAGCAGAGTGCAAAGTGAATGGGAAGAGATTTAGACAGCTGCATGTAGATTAACAAAACTTATTATATTGTCAGTGGAAAAATAGTTCATCTTTTATTTCATCATATTACCTTTGAAGCCCACATCATTTGCATCTCCCATGCAAACTCTGCACTTCAGTGCAGAACAGCTTCAATTTTAAAGCCTCAATCTCCTGGGATGCCAAATTATCACCGGAAACAAAGCTGATGGTTCCTCTCAAAGACTTTCTTTCCCCATTTATGGTAAACTGGTATCCTCCATCCTTAGGAAATAAATATAGATCAAATAAAAAAAATAGGATGTTGATAGTCAAGCCCTAATCTGTCCAATATATACAATACAAATAAGACTAATACAATTTTTAAAGTCTGTTGCATTTTATACTTTCAGTTTACTCTACAACAGATATTGAATGTACTGCACACTGTGGTCATTATTCAACTCTCACCTGCTCTAACTGATTGAGCTCTGTCATGAATGTTTGAAGAATTTCATTGCATCCATACTTCTTGATCACAGTTCTCTTTGCAATTGCCAGAAGCTGCATTGCCTTTAGCTGGGATCGGTACTTAGGGTCAATATTCCCAAGAGTATAGTAAAAAACGCCTAAAATAGTATGCAACATTTAGCATGCTTACAAAGGTTAATTGATTATGACATCAAATAAGTATCTGAACTGGTTGAATCTTAATTGTGAAACAACTACACCTAAATGCCTTTCCTTACTCTCTGAGGTACATGCATGAATGTCTCATGACTTGTGACAGTATAGTGAAATAAAAATATCTCATTACCAACTTTATGTTTTGAGGTTTTGCTGCCCAGTGGATTCACAACTTCAACATCATCATAATACAATATAATCTGTAAAGCATGTGGGTCCCTAGAGAAAAGAGGGTGCTGGCGGTAAACCTGACCATCACAATAATCAGCAATCATCTCATCATGTCGTTGATGTGAGTTTTCCACCTGTTCAGAAACAATTCGTAAGAATTTACAAATAAATCACCACATTTAACATTCCACCTTTATCAAAATTTAAGAATACCACTGGGCAAAGTAATGGAAATTACCAGCTAGGCAAATTCCCACAAGTTAAAGAACTGGTCCACATAAAACTAAGTGACCAATGACCACAGAGGTGTTCCAGCTTCCATCGAGAGTAAGAAACTTTTCCGTTTTTTTTTTATTTAGTTTTTTTAAGCAATCCTTGTTAATTCATGAAAACTGAAGTGCCTAGGAGTATGATTTTCTTTCTCGATAAGTACATAGTTTGGTGAAAGTACATTATTGATATCATCGAGGTATGATTATGTTTTTTCTTTTATGCACAGTTTGTTTACATTTATGGAAACTTTCTAGTCACAAAAATTACTGTTCCCCAACAACAAATTAATTTGTTCATTTGTTTACTTTTTTTACAGTTCTCTGCCTCAGTAGAGTTAGGTATCCAGGAGGGATACCTCAGTGCAAACCAGAAAAGTGAATTGGTCCGGGATGTTTGTACAAGCATCAACCACTTCACCAGCCACCCAAAGCGCTCTGAGAGGCAATGGATAGCTAAAAAAATTGTTGAAGAGTATCCATGTATGGCTGGCAAGAAACTAGTTGACTCAGACACTGAATGGGTTAGTAAAGTTTAAAAATCTATCAGTTTGCTTCTTCTGCTTATGGTAAAAAAATAGAATTTTTGTGCTGAATTTCTTGGCTTAAACTTAGAAGGTGCAGAGTAATCACTCTGATCTTTTAAGTTCTTAAGTGTGATTGGCTGTTACCAATAATTATAACACATATCTACCATAGAATTAGATGTGTAGTGTTCAGCTAGGAGGCACAGAGTGGGAAAGGGGCAGAATACAGTGCCAACTGAAAAACTTGAGATGATGTGAACTCCACACATTGAAAGTAATATCATTAGTTGAGTAAAGTTTACTAACAAATGTGCAAAAAAATTAGGCATTAATTTATGCAATGTCCTGACCCTTTTCCAGGGCTATTTGGAGGTCAAGATTTTCAACAGGATGAAAAAAATCCAAAAACCTAAACATCCAGCCAATCCTGCTGAAGCTGGTCCCTCTAAGGCCAAAAGGCAAAAAAAAGATTTCAGTATTTGGGCACAGCAGCCAGACTTACCTGCAGGTGAGACTCTGGCAACTTTAAAAGCCTTTGCTGAGGAAAATCGCAATGAAGTCAGGAGAAACCCCCGAAAGCACAAAGCTCATAAGGATTTCATGGACAAAACATTCCCCCTCCGCCGCCATGAAATCATAACTGCCCCTAAATTGGTGAAGGCTGTGTTGATGGAGTACCCATCTCTGAAATATTTCATCCATGTAAGTATTTGCTGTAAATTGCTTGTATCTGTCATAAATGTAAACCAGTTACAGGTTTGTTTGTTTGTTTTTTGGCCAACTTTTGGCTGATACTAGGGTACCTGTCAGAGATTGCAGTCCAATACTTTTAAATGATATGCTTCCCAATTGTACTAATTTTTTTTCTTAAGGGGGGAAGAGGGATTTTGTTTGTATGAAAGGCAAGTTCCTTACCAATATATTTGTGTTCCTATTAAGGGCATGAACAGTCCTTAAGAACAGCATTTCTCTCTCTGGATTCTCAGTACACATGTGGTTATGAATACCTCTAGAGTAGATTCATCGGACAAGTAAGACGACTTACATGTTATGTTTTCTGCCTTACCTTTCAATGCAGTTAAAAGCTGAGCTGTGTAGAATATTCAATGATGATAACATCCCAACCAAATTGCGGGAAAAATACCTTATGTGGCAGCAGCATATCCTAAAATATGCTGCTGCTAGCAAAGATAAGGTGGTCAATGAGGTAATGGATGGAATGGAAGCTGCCCTTAGTGAAGAGGGATGCAACAGAGAAGGTAAAATGAGGTTTTCAATCATTTACAAAGAAGTATTATACCTTAATTTGTGTAAAACATTCTGCTGCTGTCACAGACACCTGATTAGAAGTCACCTTTGATTTTACAACTTGTATAAGCCCTGGCTTTAAGGAGAGTTTATCAAGACTGCTAGATTAGAAAGTATGCTGTTATATAGGGGTTACTGTCTCCCACGAAAAAAAAAAAAAAAAATTGTTCTGTATTTAAATTACAGAAATTAAAAGTAGGACATCCCTGCTGGTCATCAACAAAGTTCTGCGCCAGCGGAGTGGAAAAAAAGGGACTTCAAGAAGAAGTTGTGACCATTTTGGAGGTAAGAGTTTATAAAACTACTACCTGCTACTTAGGTACAAAAATACTACAGAACAGCTAAAATTATTCAGCCCAGCTATGAAGTCCAGATACTAAGCTTCAAGTACCTTGGGATTGTATTTATTTTCCTTCTTTTTTTTCCATTATTGTGATTTATTTTTTTTTTTTTTTTTTTTAATTTTGCTGTAGTCAAACCATAAGATAAATACTGCACATGGAATAGTTGATGTCTTTTTCCTGGGGTTGAACACCCCACATGTACATTTGTGATATCTTGCAGATACTTTAGGAGTCGTAGTATTTTTTTCAAGGCTTGAAGGAAGACAAATTAAAAGCATTGAGCTAAATTTCCACTTCCTTTTTAATGTTTTGGCTTATAGTTTTAGAAAAACATCCCATATATATATCATTTGAGTAAAATTAAATGAGGGTAAAGTGACCAACTGAACCCAGCAGACTAGCCAGTAATTTTGATGCTCCTTTGCACTTTGGCTTGTTTTTAATATGGTTGTAAAATTTGTTTTATTGCAGAGAGAAGCTGATGTTGATTCAGCAGTTATAGATTACATCCAGCCACAAATTGTTATTGTTGGAGATATTTATGACATTGATCTCCTGTATATAGTCACAGAGGGAGTATTATTTGTCAGCTCCCACAAGAAAAAAATTATTGATGCTGTCATTGGGTTACTTGGCTCATTTTATGTTTTTTTAATGTCTCCTACAATCAGTCAAAGGCAATTTTGACTTTTTTAGAGCAAGCATTGCTTGAAATTGGGCGTGGGCAGACTCTTGTTACTGTTTCCTCCTTTTTCAATGACTTGGCAAATGCCTGAGGTAGAATCAAACAAGATTTATACTCTTATGCAGGAGCAGGACAATTTGTTGCTGTTGTGTTATTTTGATAATTTTCTGTACTTCAAAAAATTCAGTCAGTCTTGATTATAAGCTGCCTCACATTATCACATTTGCTGAGTCAATGAAAAGGAAGCTTTACTTACAAGTGTCTCGTGTGAAATTTCTAGCAATGTTTGCAATTTTGAGAAGTATACTGATTTAGTGAAGATATATTTTAGAAACTGGTTGCATTAATGTTAAAAATGTATTTATTGTCCTATTCTTTCAAATGTTTGTCTAAGATTCTTCACGAAAATCATGGTCTGTAAAAGGTTTTTAACAATACCTAGAACTTAATAAATTAGTGTTTGAAAGATAAAATATGAGTTGTATTTTCATTATTTGATTGTGAGTGTGGGGGAAAAGCAGAGGAAAGAGCCCTCTCTTTTCTGAATGATTCGAGAGTGGGGCTTGATTCAGCCCCAAAATTGGTGCCAAAACAGCCCCTTTTCAAGTAGTAGTGGGACTTGCAACCCAAAAAACTTGGCGGGTATTGATTGAAATAAAATGCTAGCAAGCAGGGATTTACTAACCCTTGATGGCACAAAACAGGACCTGGGAAAACTCTTTAGAGCGACTCCCTGGCAGCCAGCACTCGTAACTGTTTCTCAGAGGTACAAAATGCCTCTTTCAACTCACCACTGAGCAATAAATTACAAGACGGACCGGGAAACTTCTTAAGAATCCACATGAAGCGCGAAAAATAAAATCACGCAAAATGCAAATAACTGAAGGGATTGTTGGGTCATATCTTTAAATAAGTTTTCATCATGAAAATTGGTTGGAATGATAGGCATGATTGAATGTTGAATATGACTTTTTATGGTGTTAAACGCCTTTAAAACGAAATAAATACTAATTAAAGGTTGTTGTGAGTTGTGGTCTTATAACCGCGTATTAGAAGACTTGTTTCAAGCAAATCCTGGTCCCTGTATGTGTCGGTAATTTGGATTTCAATGAAATAATTTACACATGAGATGTTCGGTACCACGAACTGGTACAAGTGAAATTGTGAAAATTATGCAAGGTTTTGTTGAGTGAGAATTGAAAATAATTTAATTTGTTGATTTATCAATCCTTTAAGATCTTTCAAACGTCGTGACTTTGATGAATCATACTTAGGTTGAAATTCGGTTGAAATAGGAGTTTCTTGAGCTCAATCGGTTTTTAATCAGTGACACTAAACCAGGCTGAAAACATCTTGGTTTTGTTTAGGAAATGGTGCCAGTTTGGAACTAAAGGACCCTTGACTAGTCAATCCGGCAAGCATGGGTAAAATCTGTCGAGCGATCAATGATCAATGAATGGTCGCAGTTTGGTTTGGTCTCTAATTCACCCCTTGTTTCTTTCTTTCGGTGTTTTTGGTTGTTTATCTCTCGCTTCGTTTAGTTACGCGAGAATAAGCCCTCCGCCCTCCAACTCGATTGGTGTAGTTCCCAGTCCCCCTTTTGTTAAATCCCAACAGACTGGGAATAACTATTGACGACAAACGTTTCAATGATTCGGAAGTTCATTGAAAATTAATAATCGCTGAGAATGGAACGGGTAATACTGGAAAAAACATAAACTCAGAAATGGCTTATGGCATAGATGCGTTTTCTTTCCTCAACAGGAAGTTCAAAGTGTTCATTTTGCTCATTTTTGGAACAATTTTAGTCGGTAAGTGAAGCGATTAAATCTGGAAACGTAAGTAGCCTGCCTTATCTTATGGTGATATTGAAAGGCACACGTGTAAAATGATTTGTCCGTCTTCTCTTGACTTCCACAAACATGCCAGGTGATGACTGTTTTTCATATCTTCTTTCCTAGTAAGCTGGGCAACAGTGAATCGTAACAGAAGTGTTGTTGCAAATGAGGCAAGGTGAGCCTTAAGAGTTGTTATGACATAATGATTTGGTACCATGTAGGTATATTGCCTCCTGTGATCAACAGTTGATCGTGTTTCGATTCACGATACATGTCTAACCAAAGCTTTAATTTTAAGTTTAAACTTACAGATGGATATGATTGAGCGTTCACCTCATTAGATATTTGTGCTCTTTTGTTATTATTGTGGTAATCTGGCGCTTACACGAAAGGATGCATTCTGTTGTTAATTTATGTTATCTTTCAAAGTTGTACTTGTTCCAGCTCATTGATCGGGTTATCTCTGGGCAGATTCAGTTAATTGTAGTTACAAATATATATAAGACTAGCAGGGTCTGTAACATAAATATGATTGTGTCTCTTGCTTTTTCATTCTTTTAGTTAAAACAGTACATGGAGGTCGCTTTCTTGCTTTGAGACATATTCTTTACTTTTTATTATTTTTTGACTGAATCCCTGATCCGCAAAAATTAGGTGAATATGTTATGAGATTGGGCTGCCTGACAAGATTCTTGGTCCATCAGGATTCTGCAGGGTGAAAAAAAGCTTACAGCTGTTTTTTTATAGGTCAAATCTCTTCTTTCTTTTACAATTAACAAGAATGCATATAATATGTGTAATACCCTATGGCCAGAGCTAGCACCACACCATAACTGAAAAATACAGTCCACTAATGTGATAACTCATTTTTATTGCTAGTGACAAATTTTAAGGGTGAAAAATAGGTTGAAGAGTTAAAACTGAAGTCTAGGCACTTACATATAAACAATAGCCTCCATTTGGTGCAAAAATATACACAGATATTTGTCCACAAGCATTATTTGTTCTAAGATGCGAATAGCTTTTGGAGAGAAAAGCTTGAGGAAAACTGTGAGCTTTAAGGAACAGATTATGTCCAAGGACAAACATATTTTCTCACTAGATGATTCAATTAGGTAATGCATTTAGGCCGATCATATGTGAGCAAAAGATATTTGTTGCATTGTAAATGTTGGTTTGTAGGCATAGGCTAGCGAAGGCAACTAGTCAGTATCCATCGCAATCTTTAATCTTTTTATGGTTCTTGAAATTAAGGACTACACTCTATAGAGTTTGAACTGGGAGTACAAATCATGCACTTTGGATGAGGTGTAAAGTATGTACTGCAGCCTAAGGGCTGAAGGTTCCACTTTTTCATCCAACCACAAACAGGTCCTCATACCCCATAGTTTACTGCACATGTATATTAGGAAAAACTCCTGGGATGTTCATCTTCCACTCAAAAGAAAACTCCTTTACATATATAGATATGCTTAATAAATATTAGTGATTATTTAAGGTACAAATTTTAAACATGAAGTCAAAATGATTTGTATTTCTTGCTCCACCAGGATATCCCAAAGAGTTCTTGAGGATATGAAGGAAAATTTACAAAAATATAATATAGAGGTACAAGTTGTCTTGAACTGAGATAATTCTGGCCTTTGCTTTATAAGCTGGGAAGAAGACAATAAGTAAAAGCTGATTTATTATACAGCAGTAGCTTGCTTGTGAAAAACCTCTGGAGAAGTCTGTATCATGGAATGGTGCTAGATAGACTTGATATTTTATGATATAATAGTCATATTTTTTTACTAATGGATATACCTTCTTTTCAGACATTTGATGAAAAATTGAAGCCACTTGAGTTAAGAATTGCCAATTTGGAAAACAAGTATGTTACATTTGGTTTCAGTGCTATGAGTAGAAATAGTGATGGCTTGTTTTACTGTTTGTATTAATAACTGTTAAATTTAATACTAGCATTGTTAAGAATAATCTTTTTCATTTCTTCTAAACAGGGAAAGAAAATATCCTCCAGTAAAATATTTATCTGAAAAAGATCGCAAGAGAATATTAGTAAGTCTTGTAATATTCTGTTTTGGTTGTAGACCAGACTATCATATCCTTTGAAATAGTTTTTACTTAAATAAACTGAGATGTTAGTAGCACCCTGATTGGTCAGAAACCTATCATTTATTTCACAGGTAAACCCACAGAAAATTTAGACATTATAAGTTTATTTTATATAAGCGATAGACTGCATTTTCTTCTGGTTTGCTGGCATAGTAACAACATGATAACTACAAAGGTTTGTAAATCACATGCTTACAGCTTGTATTTTGTGCATTAACCCTTTAACTCTCAAGATCTCATTGGTAATTCTCCTTACTATCTGCCAAATGATTCTCATTATGTTAGTTTGGAGAATTTGGTATTATATCAATCAGTAATCCGATAATTGATATTTTTCTTTATTCTCATTACTTGTCTGCATGGTATTGTATAGAATGATATAGTAAGGAGAATTTCTGTCTTGGTCACTCATGGGAATTAAAGGGTTAAACTTTTCTTGTGTTCTCCCAACCTCCTGTCTGGATTATTTTGCCAGTAAACTTTTAGAGAGTGTGGTTTATTGCTGAACCCTATACACCCTAAGATCAGTATGCATAGTCTCCATACCTTCTCTATACATTTCTTAAGGTTCTGAAAGGAGAATTTGTTTAACAATCAAGAGTTTCTTTAGTTGTTGATCATATCCCTTATTCTCATGACCTTAATGTTTTATTCAGGGGTGATATTGTAAGGAGAAATTAGTTGCCAGTCACTCTAAGGGAGTAAAGGGTTAATTGAACTATGAACTATCAAGTGAAGTCATATCTTTGCTGTAAACTACTGTAAACTGCAAAATAATGCAGCAACTCAAAGAGTTCAAAGTTCATGAACACACTGTTAAAATTGCTGAAGATGTTGAGAGTGGAGCTGAGTAATGTATGTTAAAATTGAAATCACCCAAGTTAGAATAAACAATCTTCTGGTTGTAAACTTGTTTAGAGGGCTGTTTCTGTCTGATATAAATTTTTCTATCCAACCTGGAAGAGGGGTTTGCTTTTGCTATGTGAACTGTAAAAATGCATTGCAAATGATGAGTTATTAAGTAAACACGCAGTAAGTGTTATTCTATACAAGGTAGCCTCTCAGCAACAATTTAAGATTACCCACATGTAATTTTAAGTTACAAAGTTAACCAATGGGTAGCATTTAGAGTAAAGAACAGCTTTAGTTCAGAAGCACGTAACATTTGCCTTGTTTGTACATGTTTATTATAAATTGTAACATTGACATTTAGGAATCTATTCAGTTTAGATTTATGTAGTTTATGTTGGTTGTTGCCAGGTGACAGGTGGGGCAGGATTTGTTGGATCTCATCTGGTTGATGCTTTACTTATGGCTGGCCATGAGGTATGCTATAACTTAGTTATGAAGTAAATACCTCTCTCTAACTGAATTCTAGGTCTTTCAGGTTCTTCAGTGTTTTTCCTTCCAAACAGAAAGGCTTCAAATGACTGGTCAATTACAAAACAAATCAGCTTGGAATTTTTGCATAGTCATTGGTGTATATATAAACAAAATTTAAAGGAAGTAAAAAATGAAAGAAATTTTAATTTTTTGCGGTAAAGTTAAGAAAAAATGAGGATAAATAACAATGGATTTTAGCTAGAAGAGCAGCTTTTAAGTTAAGCAAGTTGTGCAACAAAGTACACCCCACTGAATTAAAGTTATGACGAAGGAATTAACTAGTTTGAAATTGATACAGGCAACCATGTGACATGACAAACTCCAAAATGACACTCAGCTGGAAATTCAAGAACCAATATTTTTTTTATTTGTTATCAAAATTCATACACATTGGTCCCTATCTCTATTAAAATTATATTTGATTTTATTAATCTTGATTTTGGAAAACATTTGCATAAGGCTAACTGCAACTTGTTCCTGAAGTGAATTTCTTATTTCATAAGTTAGACTTAAAAAATTTTTGTGAAATTTTGTCTAGGCATTTTGTTGAGTTTGAGAAATATTAATTGACTGCAGCCTGCTGTGAGTGTGTCAGAGTAATACTAAGATCTCAGTATGTTCCCCAAGTCATGTGACTCTGTCACCATCTATTATCATCTTGATTTAAAGTAAATAATATACAAAGTCTATATCAACTATTAATCCTAATGACCCAATTAATTTTGGATTAATTTCTTAGTACTAAATGGTGCCTTTTTGAGCTTGTCATAAAGGCATTACAGCCTTGTTTCTGAGTCTGCATTTTTATGACTGAGATCAAAAGGATTACAGATTGAGATTTGAAAATTATCAGTTTGGCAGTTTAAAGAAATGTTTCTTTCTCAATAAAATTCATTTCAAGCTAGGACATACGCTTGGTCGGTATATCCACCATATTACCCCTTCTGATAATCAAGTTCTTTTCATTTTATATATTTTAATGTTCAAGTTTTTGACAATCAGTTTCACCTACAGTGCATTATTTACATTGGTTTTTTATTTATGGCAGGTCACTGTTGTAGATAATTTTTTCACTGGAAGAAAACGAAATATTGAGCATTGGTAAGAAGTCAAAATCAATTATTATTGATGAGATCTGTGAAATAAGTGGGACCAAACTTGAACCATTTCACTATCTTCTGGGTTATCATTGTCACCACAGGGGATATGTGAATCAGTCTTGCATCATTTTAGTATAGTAGTTGTTACAAAATTTAAGTTATGTCCATTTTTTTATTTTTGAGCCAGGCTCTGGAATTGTGCCAAAGTCACTCTATAACTTAAAACCTGTTCCCCTCAAAAACAGCCAAGGGAACTATTAATCCTATTTGGGGGCAAAGTTGCAAGAAAGCTTACTGGAAGAGATATAATGCAATTAAACATTACAAGCTGAAATGGTAACAGAGATAGAATTTGATTGTACACCTCTTAAGTTCATTTTAGACTATTCGTCATTCATTCAGTGGCCTAGTCACCCAAGCTTGACGGACGCATTTAAGAAATTAAGAAATGTGAACTATAATAATGTTACTGATCTTATATCTGTCACCCAGGATCAGACAAAATTGTATCTACAATAGTTATGGAACTGTGTTATCTTCTCTAAAATGGTTTTTTGTTCTTATTTTAACAATGTTACAGTTATATTTCCAAAAATGACTTTCCTTCATCTCTTCTCAAATTTAAAAGAAAATTAAAAAAAAAAAAATCTTAAATTCCAGCTCACAGCCTGAAATTATGATCGGTAGTTATTTATGTGTTACAGATGAGTTTGCCTATATTAACTATGCTATTTATACAAAGGTAAATAACTTTGGAGTAATTTTTCCAACTGAAGATAACTTGAAATGTATAAGTAACATTTTCACATGAACTTTATTTCATCTTGCAGGATTGGACATGAAAATTTTGAACTCTTAAATCACGATATTGTGGAACCAGTTTTATTAGAAGGTAAGTTAGTCAGAAATCTGTCACAAACTACTTTGAACTGATTCCTGAGGTTAGCTTGGGATTTATTGATTGTTTTTGCTCAGTAATTGTAAGTCATAACAAGATAACTCCCAAGAACATCTTCAGTTGCCAACTTAGAATACGAGTTTAAGCAAGAATTACATATATTGATTGGAAGACCATTATCAAACATAACACAAGGCAATAGAGTGGAGCTAATGAGGAGAGCTAGCCGAGAAGGTGTGAAACAATCTAATTATTGTGATAGTGTGGTCTAATTATCTGGGTGAGTGTAGTTCTGAGAAGGACTGTTGTCAGAAGTGGTGACTGATGTTTTGACAACCTGAGTGGAAGCCATCATCAGAGTCAGGTGAAAAGTTGTTATCAGTCAAATTTACCATTTCTGCACATGTTACCTACAGGTTCAAACCATTTAGTGTAGGTTAACAAGAAAGAAAACAATACAGTAAAATAAAACAAATTCTTTAGCATAACCGTGATAGGAAGTGAGAATGTACCATAAAACTTAATGAGCCAGTCAGAGTAGCAGGATACTTAGTGTAAGAGGTCATCACCAGTCCCATCACATTACTTTTGGCCATTTTACTTCCAGCAGTGATCATTTAATAAATTCCCTTTTCAGTTTTAACACACTGTCAAGCAGAAAGATAGTGAGAACTAAGAGAGTGATCATACAGGGGATATTGTCTTGCAATTCTCAAGAATGGCCCAAAAATAAATTTATAGGCACCAGTTGGGAGAATTTTCTTTTGATCCCAGAAGTGATGTGGTAAATGGGTTTATTGTAACATTCAATTCTAGAGTAAAAACTGAGGCTAAACATGCACAAATATTTTCTTTTCATGCAGTTGACCAGATTTATCATCTGGCATCACCAGCATCACCTCCTAACTATATGTACAATCCCATTAAGGTAAGAGCTGCTTCTTTAAATTTGTAAGTCCTCTAAACTCTTACATCTCACAGTTTTTGCCTGTTACCATGGTGTGAATTATTTAGTCTATGCTATGGTGGAGCCAATTCACATTCAAGCTTTGCATTTAAGGTCAACTGCATCAACTTTCATTCTAGCACACTTCACAAATTTCTCTATGATGTTAGTTTTACCTGCTCAGTGTCTGGCAAGTTTGCATCTCCAAAGATTTTGAAATTTATCAGATCATATACATGATTCAAGGAACAGATGATTTTGTTCAAGGAGGTGAGGGTGGGAGGAGCTACACAATCCCCCTTCTCACCCCAGGGTATCTTTTACATCCCCCTTCTCACCCTGGGGTATCTTTTTACATCTCCCTTCTCACCCCAAAGTATCTTTTACATCCCCCTTCTCATCCCAGGGAATCTTTTACATTCCCCTTCTCACCCCAGGGTATCTTTTACATTCCCCTTCTCACCCCAGGGTATCTTTTACATTCCCCTTCTCACCCCAGGGTATCTTTTACGTTCCCCTTCTCACCCCAGGGTATCTTTTACCCCCTTCTCGTCCCAAGATGTCATTTACATCCCCCTTCTCACCCTAGCATGTCTTTTACATCCCCCTTCTCACCCTAGCATGTCTTTTACATCCCCCTTCTCACTCCAGGGTATCTTTTACATCCCTTTTCTCACTCTACATCCCCCTTCACGCCCCCATGTATCTTTTGCATTCCCCTTCTGGCCCCTATGTATCTTTTTACATCCCCCTTCTCGCCCCTACATATCTTTTACATCCCCCTTCTTGCCCCTACATATCTTTTACATCCCCCTTCTTGCCCCTACGTATCTTTTGCATCCCCCTTCTCACGACGCATTAAATCAAGCCAACTTGGAGACGCTCTCCCAACGCAGGCAGTCTATCACAACTAAGCTTTTTGATTCCATCACCTGTAACTCAGACCATAAACTGTATAAGCTCCTGCCTCCTCAGAACAACTGTGGACTCAATTTGAGAAGAAAGAGGAAATTTAATGTTCCTCTGGCTAAGATGAAGAGACTCATGAATACATTCATATATAGTAATTGTAGTTAATCTGTGTACATTTTTCTTATACTTTTCTCATACTTTTATTAGATTTTACAATTGTAACGATTAATCTAATTCAGCTTTTGGCTGCAATTTTAATCAGAATAAACTATCTACTTCTAGTCACCCCAAGGTATCTTTTACATCCCCCTTCTCACCCCAGTACATCTCTTACATCCCTGTCCTCATCCATAAACACACACACAAACAGACATATTTCTAGAAGGCTTTCCACTGATAGCGGCTTGGTTTGCATTTTTATTACAGACAATAAAGACAAATACCTTGGGAACTCTTAATATGCTTGGTAAGGTTGATGATAGTCAAAATCATTTGCAGGAATACATTACTACAAACGTGGTTTAGTTTGCATATTTAGTGTAAACAGCCATAACAAATGTATTGGTATTTCTTTCTCTACATAACAGATATTTAAAATTATGATTTTTTTGACTCTTACTTTTGGTTTGCAGGAAGTTTTCAAAAATTTAGTGATATGGAAGTGAAGGCCTCTGTGGCCGTCTTGCAATTGGCCAGGAATCAAAATTGATCCTTACTCATAAAGTGTATCCCCCTGTTTGATTGGACATACTGCTGACAATCCAATGAAATTGGCCAATGTACAAATTAGTACTTGAGAATAAGTCAAAAATGCTTTTTTGTACCTCTCCAATTACCTATTGGGAAAAAAATAACATGTCTTTGGACAGGAAAAATTACAGTCTAGTATGTTTGTATCGTAAACAGACTTGTTGTTTTCTTTGAAAGGTCTGGCTAAGAGAGTACATGCAAGGCTTTTATTGGCTTCAACATCAGAGGTGTACGGAGGTAAAGAATGCTTTTCTTGAATCTGATAAGTCGATACTCTATGCCCATACTCAAATTTATTTTATTGAAAGTCATTTTAAACCTTTAACATCTGGCTAACGATTTAATTTTATTTTGTTTTTCATGTTTCGTCTCTTATTTGGTTTCTAGATCCAGAGGTATGTCACAGGTGTTTTTTTTTTTACAAAATTTCTGTTCACAAAGTTTTCATCACAACTCACGATCTTTTGCTTTCTTCCCTGTCTTTACTAAAGGAACATCCCCAGCGAGAGGAGTACTGGGGCCATGTCAATCCGATTGGACCTCGAGCGTGTTACGACGAAGGCAAACGTGTTGCTGAGACAATGTGTTATGCATACGCCAAGCAGGTACACTCTTAACTCTTTATACCCTAACATCAGTATGCATATTCTCCATACTGTTCTCCGTACATTTCCGAAGAGGCTGACAAGGAGAATTTGTTTCACAATCAAGAGCTGCTTTAGTTGGTGATCATCTCCTTTATTCTCATGGCTTTCATGTTTGATTCAGGGGTGATATTGTAAGGAGAAATTAGATGCTAGTCTCTCTCAGGGGTTAAAGGGTTAATAGAGCAATTTTCAATTTAGCGTCGAAAATAATCCGGGATTGGTTTGGTTTTACTTAACTTTGTTCTGTGATTGGTCCAGAAAATTCGCGCCACTTTCTGAACCAATCAGATTCAAAACTAAAATCAATCGCGACTTGGTCACTCTTGTTTTCCCGCGCTTCTGGCAGGTTGTTGTTATTAACTTTGGATTCTAATTGGCTCCTTGCAATCTTTTCCCCATTTCTGACTGGCTGTTGTGATTACTTTGGTTTCATTTTACGACGCTCTATGGAAATGCGCTTTATAGATACTGACATAATATGTTGACGCTGGGATTACAGGGTGTCAAGTTACTTCGAGAGGATATCCTGGTCAAAGTGATCCGATCGTCAAAACAAATCCCAGCGTTTCATTTTCTCCCTGCAAATATTCACTTCTTGGCATGAATTCGGTCAAGGAGGCAGATGTTCACAAAAGTTCTCTATCCCACTTGAAACGTAGGAATTGTTGCTCTGGCCAATTTCTTCGTCGTTTTGCAGTTACTCGTGGCTTATTATGTCCCGAACATTGTGCAAAATTTGTAAGGCATAAACTTGTAGTCGTGTGTGGAAAATAATCCGATGTTAAAATGGTTTTGATATACTACGCTCTGCGTTGGTTAAAAAAGACAAATTCCCTTCCAACTAGTCAACTGCAAAAGGAAAACAAAAACATGAGTAGTGATATTCCCGCGCTACAGACCATCTACCCATATTTACTCAGATTTTTCATTTGTTTCTTGAAAGCTTTGGTCTGAAGGACTTTATTGTTTACTTTGGTTTTGATACTGATTCTAAATCAATATGTGCTCTAATATGAAAATGGTCAAACGTACTAAGGAGTGAAACAAATGCTGCTTGTTAGCCTATTGGTTAACAACAACACCGGGTCAAAAATTGTAGATATTTGTAAACATTCACTGGCTGGCACCAGTCAGACAGCTCTTTCGTTAGTTTTTCTGGGTTGATTAAAAGTGAAATAAAACTCCATATTGGCCGGAAGAGAGAGTCAATTAATTTGTTTTTCTTTTTTTGTTATTTTTGTTTAAGGACCATGTTGAAGTGCGTGTGGCCAGAATATTCAACACATTTGGACCCAGAATGCACATGAATGACGGTACGTCACGGTGATGGTTCTTGTTCATAACAAAATGTAGTCACAAGACCAGTTTGGTATTTTTTCCTCAAAACAGGTCGTGTTGTTAGTAACTTCATCATGCAAGCTTTAGAAGGGAAGCCACTAACGGTAAGGAAATCATGATATAGCTGATTTAGTTTCTTGGGAAATGGTGAACAATCGTTGTCCAGAGCTGCATGCAGATAGACTTAATGGTGATGGGTGTCGCTTTTAAGGAAACTGAACTCTTTGGGCCGGTTATTATAACAAATTTTAGCCGTTGTTTAACAAAACCGTTCTAAGCCATCTTCAATTTAGCTGAACCTTTTATCTAAACATTTATTTTCGTGAACAGTGTCAGGAGGACCGGAAGCTAACAGAGGAAGGACACTGATTTATTTAATGAACCAACCCTCTTTTAGAGAATACCTAAGGCCCACTGCTGGCATAAAACCGCGGTTTGGGTTAGACATCGTGTAAATAACCAGCCCTTTGTGTTCATTGCTGAACTTTCTCTATTTTCCATCAACTAGGTTTACGGAAGTGGAAAGCAAACAAGGTCGTTTCAGTATATCAGGTTAGTAAGGTGCCTTGTGAGGTAAACATCTTGTCTCCAAAAGTAACAGTAAAAGTGGTTCACATTTATTACGGTATTGCCCACGGAGCAGGCACGCCAAATTTAGGCAGACGTGCATCGCAGATCTCTTCATAAAGGCGGAGATATCTTTGCTCATATGCCCTTTTAAAAAAGCACCGACGCTTATCCGTGTGCTCGCCTTGGAGACCGATTTTGTTACACCAAAAATTATAACGTTGACGACTTAATGATACAAGTCAAATTTACGCTGACTTCGGAAAAGTTCTCCAGCTTACGCTTGCTGATCCATTCCTAACGTCTAATTGAGAAGTTTGAGCTATTTCGTCGTTGGGGGACACATCCTCGATTCAGTAACTGTGTTAAATGATAAAAACTTCTTCTGAGGTGACAGTGCCTTGTGTAAAGACTGTTGGCTCCCATAACATTTAAATTTCCCGCCTTTTACTCGTAAAATTTTTTAAGCGTAGGCTTACTATAATGAATTAGTTTGGCTCACTAGAGATAAGCTTCTAACTTAGGGCGTCCCTAATTTTTCAGTAGAGAGGGACATCTACATGTAAGGTTTAACTATCTCACTTATTTGAGCGATTTTGCACTGTTTCAATTGTAAGTCAATAACCATGATGATATCAAAATGTCTTTGTTCCATTATTATTTCTCAGTGATTTGGTCAATGGATTAATTCTTCTGATGAACAGTGATTTCTCCCAACCAGTCAACATAGTAAGTTATTGAACATGATTTCAGTGTATACAGGAAGGGTTATTCTTTGGAAGCCCCAAAATATTGAGATGTTTTTACAAATTACTTGCCAGCAGGCTTTCTCAGTACTTAGAATCCCACCATTGCTTTGCAGGGAAATCCAGTGGAATACACAATAATGGAGTTTGCGGAAATGATTAGTGCAACCGTGGGTAAGTAAAAGATGATTCTGGTATGAAGAATTTACGTCATCCCCTCATTCCCCCCCCCCCCCCCAAACACACACTGACGCACACATCATATACTGGCAACATATGTAGTTGTTATCTCGTCGTATTGCGCCAAGAAAGTTGTTTAAGTAAGCGGTGCGAGTTTCTTGAACCAATCACAGAGCTATTTAAAGTAAAATCAAAGCAATCGTGTTTTAATTTCGCTGCTCAATTAAAATTTGCCATCAGAATCTCTCTGACTGTACCCAGTCAACGAATGAGACATAAGCGGAAAGCAGTCAAGACTCGTTGCGTTGGCAACACAAACTGTGGTCTGGTTGAAAAGTAATACTGGATTGTGTTGGTTTATTTTTCGTCGCATTATGAATTGGTTTAAAAGATTCGCGCCACTAAGTTTTCTTGTTTTTACCTCTGTGACATTTACCCTTGTTTTCTCTTTGTCGATGTGATTATTTGGTTTGGATTTTATGACAATCGATGGAAGGAAACGTGACTGTGATTTTGGCGTAAACTTTTAACTAAGAATTCCATTGTGGGTGCAGTGATCTTTACACCATGTTAATTCAAACATGATTGAGGAGGTAAAAAACAGATAATTGCTTGTAAAATTTCTCAGGTGGCAAAACAATGATCTCGAACGTTGCAAAGATGGAAGACGATCCTCAGAGACGTAAACCAGATATATCTCGCGCCAGGAAATACCTTGGCTGGGAGCCAAAGGTATGATTAATCAACATTCATAATCTTATTTAGGAAAAGCAGTCAAATAAGGAGTTAAGTGAGTTGAGCGGAAATAAGAGATTCGGAACTTTAGTGACAGCATGTTTTCAGATTTTGTTTAAGATTCATTTTTTCAGTTTTGCATAGAACAAGAACAAACGCGATTTTTTTACGCGTTTTTACGTTTTGTACGCGTAGCGTACTCTATGAAACCTTGCTTTCCTTATTTACGCTCTACATCGTTGCAAATTTCGAAGTGGCGTCGACCACGGTTTTCGCGCCAAACCGCCTCTCAGAAGAGGGGTGCAAAATCATGACGTGGGCCTACGTTAACGTCCTCTAAGAAACAGGTTGCCCCTTAGACGCTCTGGTGCACAAGGGCGTTGCCTGTATTTTCTACAACTCCCACTTCTACACATAGTCGAAGAGTTCTAAAACGTGATGTGCCATGAACTGTGATAAGAGGTAAACAAAAGTAAAGAAGGAATAACTGAGGAGAATGGGTCAAACAGAAAATGTAAAATCATTTTAACGCGGTTGCAAGAAAAGGCTTTTCCATTTACTTTCTGTTGTGAGGTTTTAACTGAAACTGTTTTACAAATGCTTCAATGAGAAATATTTAAGATAAAAATTTGAAAAACTGATAGTTAAGATATTTTTTTCCTACTTTCTCTCGACAGGTGCCTTTGCTAGTCGGCCTCAATCGAACAATTGCATATTTTAAAAAAGAGCTGGACAAATCCAAGAAATCCAAGTTAATAGACCTGTAGCGACTCAAGAAGATTTTGTGTATCATTAACGCAAAAGGAGTGTCTTGCTATTGAATTCAGCCCGGAAATAAGCCAACTACGACGTGATAAGAAAGTTATCCACGCAAAGAGAGACTTTCATTAGTTCAGCCTACACACTTTTTTGAAGGACAGCTCAAATTGTAGGAGGAGCATTTTACGAATTTTTGTTTGACGACATCACATAGAACAAATGATGAAACAGTAACCTCTAGGCCTTGTGATTTACAAATCAAAACACTAAATAGAGGAACATACGAAAAACGCATGCGCTTTTTGGTTTTGAAAGAATGAATGAAAAAGTTTGCTTTCGTATTTGTTTTGTATATCATACATGAATTTTCATTATTTATTAATTTATTTAATAGTTTTTTAAATTTTACAAGTGATCTTAAGTTGGCTTGGTGTAGCTTTGAGTAGCTTCGTTTTCTTTTCAGTAATAGTTTAACCCAGTCTCCTTCACAGTCGTTTTTTAGACTATTTTGAACTCTCACCATCCACACAACTGAGAACATTTTCCTGTGCTTAACGTGCACTACATGTTTCTGGGTTCCAATTTTCTACACCGGTTTCCTTTTGTTTTTCGATTCGTTGTGGAATCTGTACTATAATCAATTCGTAAAGCTGCGCCCAGGTCGCCGCTGTTTTTTTGTAACCTGAAAAACTATAAAATAAATTCGTATGTCGTAAGGGTTCGGTGCCGAATCCTAAAACCTTGCCAGAAGAGTGGCCATTTAGTTTCTAGACATGACCTCATCTACGCGCGACCACTATAACAGTAAGTCGACACCTGTTAGCTCTGCCAGCGCTTAAGGGAAAGCGAACCGATATTCTGGCCCCGTTTGATAGAGGGGTAGTTACGTCATCCATTGGATGAATCTCTATATGGTAATGGTACAGTGCGTTTTACTAACACTGATATGCTGGTTAGCGATTTTGTCTGCTGGACAGCGTTATCCGCCCTTTGAAGAGCTGGGTCCTGATTAGTAACCTGAATGGTAAATCTGTCTTGCCTGCATTGGTTTGCCTCTTACCCAGACGACTCTCTTCTGAGAACCTACAGGCACGCAAAGGAGGTAGGGCATGGTCTCTTGCGCTTCAGGTTGTCTCAGTCAGTCGCGCTTGTCTGCGAGTGTTTGTTAGCGTTCTAAGAGGACGCCAGCTAGTTAACATAAACGTTCAAAACTTCATAACAACATTGATCTACAAGAGAAAACTTCTGTAATGACATAGGCAGCATTCCCCAGCCACAGCAACCTTATGTCGCGACGACGGTCAAAACAACGTTATTCACCACAAGTTTGCCGTTATTAGTGCTAGTCACGTGATAGACCCTCGAAGGATTTCGGGAACGTACGTCTTTCTGGATTTAGTAGGCTTGGTCGATAGAGCAAATATATATTTAAGGGTTGGTTTGATATGACGACTGTGTGCAACCTACTATGTCAATTGACGACGGAGGCTGTGGAAGTCATACTCAAGGAGCTTTGGGTTGTAAAGTATTGCTAAGAGAATATCAAGTGATTACTTCTTATCTTTGGTTTTCTGCGTCTTCTGAAATTTGCAAGCCCTTAGCGATGTTCGAGAAATTCAACCGCGGCCTGGTTTACGAACGTAGCTTTTTTGATCGCATTTCGTAAAATCGAATCCAAAATAAAACGGGCTACTGAGAGCAATAACAATTGAGGAACCAGCGGGAACACAACTGGAATAAGTGAACGCATCAGGGCCCACGTTAAGACCCTGGATTGTTGAAGAAGGGCACGCACTTCCTTACTGGATCACGCAACAGGTGACTTGACTATTGCCACAATCTCAACCAATCAGGCGTGAAACAACTCGGCGCTCGCGTTTTTTCGCGTTGCACGCAGTTTGTTTGTTCTTATTAGAGCTCTCAAATATTCTTCTTAAGATATTCTTCTTCAATTGATTAACTTTGTAATTGCTTTGGATGGGTTTAAGGCAGAGCGCACAACTACCCTCTCCAAACAGAAAACCATTTGATACATCTCTTACGAACCTACCCTCAGTGAAGATACTACAACACATTCGTTTTTAGACCGGTTTTAATTGGTATAGAACAGGTATAAGCTGGTGAATCGTAACTAGAATACCTGTACTGCAATTCTCTACCAGTAGTAGGAACTGTAATTATTCTCCTACTCTTTCAAAATTTAAATTATTTGGTAATATTAATGAATATCTCGAAGATTTTCATATAGACAACGAGGATTCTATGAAAACTCAACTATTTTTCGACGATCCTCAAAGGCGCTAAAATATTGAATAAAATTTACAGAATAGACTATTAGAAAAAAAAAACTAAAACGCAATTTTTTTGTTACTGTACACATTAAAGACACAACAAATGAAAAACCTACAAGTCTCGCCACTGAAATTAACCAATAAAAAATAAAATTTTGTGTAAAAAATAAACTCTAAAGAATTTCTGTCCGCTTTATTATCTAAGCTGGATAATTGTTGATTGACAGTTTCATTTATGAGTTTCTTGAGCTGGCTTCTTTCGATGCCAGAATTAGAGGAACCAAGCTTGCCAACGGCTTGGCTTGCTTTAAAAATGGGTGCTGAAATGGATTCAAATAAAAATAATGTAAATGATTGACTCATAGACCTCTTTAGCTGGTAAGTTTTGTTTACCCACACCTAGTCTCCAGGGAATTCCCAGTTTTATTTTTTTTTGTAAATTATGCGTACATATTGGAGCACGTGAATAAGAGGAAATTGGAAGAAAACAGTTCTCTAGAGTACTATTACATGACCTGTTAGGAGTAAACAATACATACAAGCTAAAAGGTCCATTCAGAGTGACAAATAGAAGAGTGGTTTAAGCCAAAATGGATGCCCACAATTAGACAGACAGGAAAGCGGACAGGCAAACAAACTGACAGATATCTAACAGAATAAAGAAGGATGAACCAACTGACAAACAGGATAACATAACAGATGCTAAAGGATAGGAAGACAGACCACAGACAGACAGACAGATGGACATACAGACACCGACCAAAAGACAACACACATACACGGCCAGACAGATACAGACAAGCAGACAGATAGACAAAGACAGATACAGATAGACAAACATACATAAAGACAGAGACAGATACAGACAGACAGACATACACAGCCAGATAGATAGACAAACATACAGAGAGAGAGACAGACAGACAGAACTGTAAAATGTTCAAGCTAGACAGAATGTACATTGTGCACTCTACCTGGAGAAGCTCCCTAGCACCAGTTCTTTTATCTACATCCATTTCCAGTGACTGTGCAAGGAAATCCTTAAAAACTGGAGATAATTTATCAGGATGCGCTAGCTCTGGAGTGCCATTTGTAGCTATCAAATACAAAGCCTACAAAAATAATATGAGGTATGAGGTAATGTCAATCATGTGGGATGGTTTATCTAGGAACCTTGCAGAACCTTTCTAAAAACCCTCTTGTCATGATTACCACTACTTGAAAATTGCTCAAGTCACCACTGCTTCCTGTAAACTATAGTTTTCATAAGTTCATTACTCTGGTGCAGTTCAAGGAATTAGTGCCCAGTGGTTATATTCTTAAGTGTGAGAGAAGGATCTCACTGCCCAACAGCATGAGAGGTGGAGCCCTAAAAAGTGAGCCCCAGTCATCAATGGATTGCAAAACTTTGCATTCACTTTCAACTGGGAACTAGAGATACACATGTACTTACCCTGAGAGGATTTTCATTCAAATATGGCGGTTCACCTTCAACCATTTCAATTGCCATAATTCCTAAACTCCATATATCCACCTATGATAACCATGAAAACATTACCTCACAACACATCTCAATGGACTGTTGACAGCATATAAGAAAAATTTAAGTCATTGCACTACATGTTCCAAGCTGAATTTCACTGCAGACATGACCTAATACCCCACTCACACCAAAGCTAAAACGGGTTTTCAAGGTGTTTTGTTTGACACAGTTTCTAATTGGAGGAAGATGTAATTCAGTGAATACAAGGCCTACCAGGAGAATTAAAAAAAAAAAAACTTCCAAGTACTCCCAACAAAAGTCCAACCTATGATATAGCATGCTTTAACACTGAGCTACAAGGACACTTATGGCAAGCTAATCTGTTTAATTAGGTCCGCAGTGACAAACTTCTTGGAAACTGCTGTTATCTTTTGAAAAGTTGCTCATACTAATTTTTTTCAACCTCAATTATAGCTCAACAAAAAAACAAGTTTGTGGTTACTTAAAACCACAAGAAAAAAACTTTTTTGTTGTTTTACATTGCTGATTAGACTACACAAGTTTTGCTGGTGTATGAACTTGGTAATGTATGCCAAGATTGTTAAAATGTCCCATAAAGATGTTATCTTGCTTGTCAAATAATCATACAAAACACACCCAATAACCATCCAAAGTTGACCCTGTTATTTTGTATAGCTTTTGTGGTAAGAATTTGTGGCATTTAAGATGAAACAATCTTTTCTCCTGTATTTCTATAAACTAAACTAGAAGTTGAGGGTAAGGATTTACCTTTGGACCATACTGTTTCCTTGTGACTACTTCAGGTGCCATCCAGTAAGGTGTTCCTACCATTGTGGAACGTTTGGACTGCTCCGGAGTTATTTGAGCACAGAAACCAAAATCAGCTAAAAACAAAATACAGAAAAATTTTGTCAGCATGACATACATGAACATCCATGAAAATAACTTGAGACACAAGAGTTTGTTTCAAAAATCCTTACTCAGCTTGACTTGCCCATCCATTCCAAGGAGAATGTTATCACTCTTAATGTCCCTATGAATGACTCCATTGCTGTGCAGGAACTCAAGGGCCTGGAGGCACTGCAGATAAGTTTGATTCAGAGGAATGAGTACAAAATTTAACTTATTAACAAATATATTTCATACTGCCATGTGTTTAGTAACAGACTACAAATGATGCCAGATGGTGGTAAGAACAAAAAAGTGGCACACAAGGCACAGCTGAGTGTGTCACTGATGTTCTCAACAAATACTTGTGTCTTCTGTAATCTACTACTGAGCAGACACAGGGCAACATAAAATCTATTTGTTTCATGTAGTAAAGAAGCACAAAATTGCTATTGGTAACATCTATGTATCTGTTCTCCAATAGATGTAGATGATAAGTAAGTGCCAAACAAAATGCATGCATATTTCAGATTACAGAAATTAGTATAGATATCCTGGCAGGCACTACAAAAGAACACAAAACACAACAGAAGTAGTTACCTCTCTTGAAACAGAAGCAATTTGTCCTTCATCCATACATGTTTCTGTGACAACATCAGTTAAAGAGCCTCCTGCTAAATACTCCATTACAACCTAACAGAAAGGAAATCAATAAATTAAGTTTAGTGAACATGTTTCACTTACAATTTATGGTATTCAGTGTTAAAAGTTTCAGCCATAGTCAATATTGGGATGCTAATTTTACTCAGCTCTCTAATACAAAGATTATTTTGACTATGTAAGGTTCTTATCATTGCAATTAAAAATGATAATGGAAACCATCATTCTCTATCAAGAGACATCCAATTTTCAGCAGAAAATCAGCAACCTGAATGTAGCAGTTTTTCATATCTTTACAACTCACCCATAATTCTTCTCCTACAAGATAACTATCCACATAGTTCACAATGTTTGGATGCTTGTTCTCCCTCATCACAAGAATTTCATTGATAATTAACTCCTGCAATCATAACAAGAACAAATCATCATTCAATAATGACACATTCAATTTCCGGATCGTACACAAATACAACAAACAAGAATGATAACAGCAAGCCAACTAAACAAAGCAACCAACCATAACCCCCACCCAAGATACAGCTTACCTCCTTTCTTAAATGAGATGCATATTATATAGTGGATATAACATGGAGGGAGATATCGAAATTTCTCTTTGAATGTTGAAAAATATTTCAAGAGTGAGCAAAACAATAAAGTGAAATGTTTTTCAACACGAGAAGAGAAATTTTGTATCTCTAAGTAACCATGTATTGTTTTTTTTTAATTATTATATAGACACTAATGAAATACTAAATCGTTTCATTTTAATTAGCAGAACATGTCACAACTAAAAAATGGAAGGAGTATGAAGCCTGTAAAGTGTGAATGAAATACAAAATCATACTGTAGTGTAGTAAAGGGCTTTAATAAAAAAAAATAATGGTCTTTAGAATTATTCAGTTAGGTGTGATTTTTATTTCTAACCATAACAACAGTAATCTTTTCTGTGCGAAGATAACATATTACCTTCACATCAGAAGGTATAATGTTTTCTGCATGAAAGCTCACTTGATGTTTTATTAGTGTTTATATAAAAAAAACAATAGTATTTACCTTCTTTGGTTGCTGGGACAAGTTCATTTGTTTAATAGCCACCTAAATAAAATTATGACTGAGGTTAAAACAAAGATTCTATATAACTTTCTGATTTCTGTGTAGAGTCACAGATAAAGATTAAACGTTAAGTACTAGAGTTAACTATCTTGGGTGTTTCATTATACCTCATGTCCTGTAGCCACTTCAATTGCTGTGTACACTGTACCTGATGCCCTGCAAGAAAAAGTCAAATCAAGTTGCTTGGTCTACAATCAAAACTGCACCTACCACCCTGAAGCAACTTAAGGTTACTTCCCACCTTTGTGGGTGCACTTTGAGGAAAAAAATGTGCCCTAGTTTTACTTAAATCCTAGCAAACTACCGTATTTACCCGTGTATAATGCGCACTTTTTTTCCATAAAAACAAGCATCAAAATCGCGGTGCGTATTATACATGGATTCTATTGTTTGTCAAGCACGTCCTAATTTGCATACGTTAAAAACGCAACAAAGAAAGTAAAAGTGCACGGATCGGTGGCCTGGGGAGGAGAAAGAGCTTGCTTATTTACGACTCATTTGAGGCTCACGTGACAGATACTGTGAACACTTCCTTCAAACGCAAACTTCCCTTCTCCAGCCATTTCGATGTATCTTTGAACAAACCATTTAGAGATGGAGTCCGAAAGGAGTGGATGGCTGATGGAATTCACGAACTTACTGGACGACAAAAAAAAAGGCTTCGGAGGAACTGATCTGTTCGTATATTTCACAAGCGTGGGAAGGCATTCCATCAGAAATGATCGCTGCCTCTCTCTGAAGTGTGGGTGCACAAACAATTGAATGGATCACAAGATGAATTGGTTTACAATTCAACTGAGATCACTGATGAACTTGAGGATTCAGTCATGAAACCTATTCGAATCGGACTGTGAGTCGGAATTTGAAGGTTTCGTTGTTTAAAGACACTGAACATTTTACTTAAATCACATAATTGCAATGCAGTAATTATATTCAAGCTACCAGCAGTACTGTGAGTAGAAATAATGTTTATGAACGGCTGTTATGATAATAATTCAAGTTGTGAATTTAGGTATATTAATAAGGACTTCAAGTTACAACATTTATAAAACGTTTGACTGTTACTGAATAAAAAAGCTTGTAAATAGGTGCTTGGTGCGTGCGATATTTGTAGTAGCAACTAGTTAGAAATTGTTGTAAACATATTATTGATGAATTCCCAGCTCTTGTTAATTAAGTGAAAAAATGGAAGTTTTAATTCTTGGTATTTGTCATGAAATCTTTTTTTTCGGAAAAAAGAGGTAAAAAATTAGGGTGCGTATTATACACGGGCGCGCATTATACACGGGTAAATACGGTATACTCAGAAGAAAGCTCAATAACAGCAGATTACAAAAAAAATATAATTGAAGGGACTCTTCTTTAAAGGAAGTGTTAGGAGCCGGTAAGGCATGGAACAACTGAAGGTTCTGCTATTGAATTTATTGGCTATCGAATGCCACAGCAAGAGCGAATTGTCTGTACAGTCTTATTCACAAGACATCAATCAATGAAAGTGTGTCAGGCTCTTTTGATGTTCTGATTGGTTGTTTAGACAGCATCTTAAGTTGGAGTAGCTAAAAATATGTAAGGCCTGTTGCGTAACTGGATGCCACTGGACAAATATTTCAAATATCAAAATTTCCCAACACCCTTTTGTTTGCCATTATTCCTGAAATATTTTGGCAAAATTTGATGAAAACTGGTTAAATCTATATACCCTACAAATTCCCTAAAAATACAGAGGAGATCTCATACAAAAATATTTCCTAAAAGCAAATCATTAACTAGGTAATAAAATAACATTGATGCATCCATCTCTACAAGAAAATTTAAAATTAAGCACTTCTTACAGTTCAAAATGCCACCTACAAAGAAAGAAGTATACTTACCCCTGCCCAATCTTTTCAAACTTTGTATATTTCCTTTTTGGATCCCCAACACTAACTATGGTACCTGTAAGTTGTTATGAATGATGTCAGATAACAGAGATATACATACCCACTAAGGTCTCTGTTACAATTACTTGTACATGTCATCCTGTATTAAAATGTTACCAGTTGATTCATTTTTCATTAAAGATAGATTTGACTACATATACTATCAATAAAATAATAATAATGCAACATTTACGCTTTAAGAGTACAAAGAAGTTGGAGCCTGCAATGCACATTTTGCATTCATATTTTACATTGTAACTCTTGTTGACTCTAAAAGTCTTCCTATGATACACCTAAGCAAACTTCATTGGAACATCTTGAGAAACTTACGTAGTCTAGCATGGATCTCCTCATCAGACATCTTTTTCTTCTTCCTGTCTCTCGTTTGAGCTCTTGGTTGATCATTTGTGGGCCCTGGAAGGAAAAAAAAAAAAAAAAAAAAAAAAATTAAGTTATTCAAATATCTTCTTCTTGGAAGTTTTTCAAGCCAATTAAGCTGTTGGCAGACTATAACTAAGAGTTTAAAATGCAGAAAAACAGTGGAACATTTGCAAACTGCACTGACTAATCAGTCTAAAAAATGGTACCCTCTTCTGTTAAATTATCAAATTCAAGAGTTTGTCATTTATCAAAATCAAAATAAAATCTGAAACCTTTTGGAGTTTCCTCTTCTTTAGCTGCTGGCTTTGTAGAAACTTCATTAGGAATGTACTAAAACATGAAAAAATTACAAATTAAAATTAGAAAATTGCTTTGTTTTCATAGCCGTACAATAAAGTACATGCAGTTATGGTCTTAATAAGATTATTTGTTTACAAATGCATCTCTAAAAAATGCACAATGTTCCATTACAATTTCCTGTTTAGTGAGACAGATTATGTTAAAAAAAGACTTGTAACACAACCTTGAAAGCACTGCCTTGTGTGCCAAGCACTAGAAATTCCTATTCATTAAAGAGCAGCTGGAATCATTTGTTCTCATGCAACATCACTAAAATTCAAAAGCCATGCAAGAAACTCATTGTATTACCCTGGCTGTATTTTAAACTCCACAAGGAGAAATGTGACAAGAGCAGGTGTCTTTCAAAAGCAAAAGTATTTGCTTTTGTTACATGTAGCTAACAGGCATTAATACTCTCTAAGAAGGCTTGTTCAACATCAATTCCACAATTTCAAAAGTACCAAACTCAACCTTAATTGCCATGATGGTCCTCTGTTACAATGGGTGGACAAAGACAGGACTGTTATAGTCTAGAATGCCACATTTGTGTGTTTCTTTTTCTATTTTTGTCCTGACTCATAATTATATAAAATACTGTATTACTAACCACATGTATCACTTCTTAGTATCAGTTCTTAGTGCTAACTCTTCACACACTAACATCAATATGTATTTTCTCTCTACTGTTCTCCATACATTTCCCAAGAAGCTGACAATGAGAATTTGTTGCACAATCAAGTGCTTCTTTAATTGACAATAATTTCCTTCATTTTTGTTACCCTAATGTTTGATTCAGGGATGATATTGTGATGAGAAATTAGATGCCAGTCACTCTTAAGGATGAAAGTGTTAAGATCCATACCTTAGACTTGGTGTGTTCTGGCCTTGATGGAATTGCTGGTGGCACTTCTGGTTCAGAATTATTTGGTCGCTCACTATGATTCTCTGCTGCCAATACATGTGTTGGCGTGGCATGTGGAGGGAGGGGTGGAGCATAAGTGTGGTCACCAATCTCAGGGCGTGTCGCTGTTTGACCTGCATGAGGAACAAGAAAGAATCATGTTAACTCAGCCTAGACCATCTGGCACAAAATTATCCATCATGATCAAATTATATATAGTTTGAGGTTGTGTGGTTATGTGATGAAGGCCATTGGACTGTTCAAGAGTCAGATCCTTTATATGAACAGCTTACTTAGCCACTTGACTGGATTTGTGTCTCAGAAGTCTTAAGTATAACTCTGGCTTTGAAATTTTTGAGTGGCCAACTGAACTACATCTCATCCGGCCTAACTGCAGTCACATCCAAAATGCTCTTCTTTAAAAGATGTACTCAACAACACACAACTTCCAATTCTTTCATGACTCTTATTTTCCAACAGAAGACTCCTCTTTAATTCACTCCTTGGGTGCCTACATGGTGCACTAAGCAGGCCAATTTTTTTATGATGACTATGCCTTCACCATAACAGCAAAATCAAACCTAAAATACCAAGTAGTGAAATTGCAAAATAGTTTTAAAGTGTTTGTAGATATCTGGTTTTTGTAATCTTTAATTCTGGAATCAAACTGATAATGTAGCCCAGCAAAGAACTGATATCATTAACTATTGTATGTTTCCCCTGCTTGCACAGATTCCACTAAGAACAATGAGGAAGACACATTAAAAAAAAGATGGCTACAAAAAGGAAAATGTTTATGTCCTTGCAAACAATTACCTTGGATGACTGGAAAACCAAATAGCTTGAAAATAACTATTGTAATACTCATCACCTTAAGAAGATCTGCACATTTCTTTTTTAAATTTAGGAACTTAAAAGTTGATATACATTGGTTTCAAGTTCACCATCTACTTGAAATCAGAATTTAAAGTAAATTTTAGCTTAATCTTTTATGTTACAAATTTAAAAGTAAAACTAACCCCCTTTTGTGTTTGTAGAACAATTCAGAGGAAACTTTTCAAGAAAGGAAACTTTAACATTTGATGTCATCATTACCATCTTAACATTAAAAATTGTTTAAATATTAACTTTTTCAGGAGTCAATTTGGTCTGCAAATTTAAACCCCTGAGAAAATTGCCTGTACATTAAGACATGTGGAAACTCTATATTTAGTTTTTTTAAGGCATTTACCACACAGAGCAACTTTCAAGGTTAAATGTTTATCATTTATTTTGTTTATTTCAAAAAGAAGTCAGATGCTAACTTGGAATTCTTACCAGTTTCAACACCATTTCTAAAAAAATCCTGGCATGCACACATTTCACCCGGTTTAAAAAGTGATAAACATGCAACAAAAACAATTTGACTTGCAATTTCTCTTATGAAATCAGACAAAAAGCTGATGATAACACATGCACAAGAAAGCGATGAGCTGAATTGATGAATGGTTATGATGCTGATGATGCAAGAATCCAGTAGCCCACGCATCTGCCTTCTTGTCCCTACAACCAGCTTGTTACCCTGAACTTGGCACAAACTCATTAGTAAGATCTTATTATTTCACCTCACAGTAGAAGCCACTGACACAGGAAGGAGCGTTATCATAACTAATCTTGTTCACTTGTGGATGATGATTAGGGAAAGCTTTAAATTTGGGTTAAAAAATTTTAAGGAATTACTTCATTGGTAACAATAGTTACATTAGAACTAGAGAGAAATACCTTGAGAATCAGAGGAGATGCGTTGTGAATATTTATTAGTGGAAGATAAGTGTGAGTTCATGGTCAATTTCTCAAGTTCATCGGCTAAGGAGCCTGGTGATGAGCCTGTAAGCGAACCTGAAGTATCTGATTGAGAAGTAAGAAGAGCTCGCGTTGGAGAAGGAGACGACAACTTTCGCTCCTCTTTATTGACTCTTCTTCTTGTCTCATCACATGTTGAACCAGGAGATGGTAACGATTTCCTGCGTTTCTTTGAATTCCTTCTAATTATTAATTTCAAGCTGCTTCTAGACGAACGTTTGCTTTTAGAAGAAGTACAACTAAATGGTGAACAAGTTATTTTCAAATCTGTAGGGTCTTCTAGGGCAGATGACGTGTGCCGTGGGCTACTGGATGCTGAGGCTGACATGTGACGTAAGGGCGGCACAGTATCATTTGATGAACTGAGATCTAATCCCTCACTAGAAGTTGCTACAATAGAATACACATATCAACCAAACATTACAGGTGATCTTTCACTTCTTGTAATTGTATTTATCTTTTGGTCAGTGTTTAATCTTAAGAAAGATCTGAAAATTAAGAAGCTGCGAATTTATTTTAATTTATTTTGCTTCTGTCAAGTTGAACAATATTTCAGACAAAAAAGAGGAAACAAACTGGAGGGGACCATTCCAAATTATGTTTAGCCATGTAAAAGCTCAGTTGCCTTTATGATACTTTGCCCATGCAACTTTATGATCCACATTAACCTTTTTCAATGACTTCAGTTTCACATTGTTGTGTCATGACATGGTAATAATAATAACACCGGTTTAATAATGTTTCTATTTCAAGATTTAAAATTCAGTCAAACAACTAAACAGTACAAGTACATCTCACTCTGCAATTTCTGACTTTCTATAACTCTGTACAATTTGAAAAAAACACTGGCCAGTAATCCAGAGAGAGAAGTTCCCTTGCTGGGCAAGTACCTCCCCTAAGCCTATTACCCAATGAGCACTTGCCAGATAAAAGCCTTACTTATCTTTAACTCAAAAGGGTGTGCTGCATTTGTTATAATTTGCTGGCCATAACTGCACAAAACCTTTTCAATTAAGTGTGCATACAGATCATGATGCAAACCTGAACTACAGATTCCTCATCACTAAAAATTGGTGCTCTGTTGGAACTGATGAATCATCCCTTTCAACTCACCCTGATCCAAGCATGCTGTTACACTGCCTCTGAACTAGATTGCAACTATTAATGTATCAAAAAGAACAGCAAACAGGCTGCTCATACAGGGGAACAATTATCACCTTCACAACTACAATTAGGCATCCAGAACTCGATGTTACCTACCATAAGGCTTTGACACTGTCATAAATTTAGCATTTGTTTCTGCTTGATACTTTCCCCCATCATAAAAATTCAAGACATCAAGAACAGCCTGGAAGTCACCAAACAAATAAGAATTTGAGGTTGAACATAAAAAGATAATTATATAGACACTAACATTTTGTTTGAGTATCCTGAGATACATATACAATGTTTACCTGGAGGTTGAAATACAAATGTGCATTCTAATTTGTTAGCATTAAAAAAGAGCAGTCACCATTGCTCTTAACCATCAACTTATTTACTAACTTCTCAGCTATTTCATTTTGAAATATGAGTTACATGTACATGTAACATCACTCATTGAGCATCAACTGCAGAACTATTTTGGAGAATTTAAGAGGTCAACATTATGTTATGTAGCTCTTGCAGTTCACTGTCAGCCTCTGGTAAAACTATTCTGCCCATGTTGACCATCAGTTCCCTCTGCATCCTAAACTTTACAATTAAATACAAGGGCTTGCAGTTAAACAAAAGTGAAAACCTTCATACAATCAGTGAAAAATAATTTCCACCACACATCAACATTAACAACCTCCTTATTTATCATTTTTGTCCCTGTAGCTGTCTTATATCTCACCATTTTGACCCCTTATCACCCCATCCTCCACCAGGAAAAAAAGAGAAAAAAAAAACATAGTATCCTGTTGCATGTGGTCATAGCCACTAAAAACAACATTACAAGCTGTGTATAAGAAGTTGTGATATTTGCTGTACCACAGCTATAGTGTGTTTGCACTACTCAAACACTAAATGACTACTTTTATTCCAAGCAGTTAGTAGAAAAGGTTGAACTCATTTAAGATGTATTTGATTTGCGGTGGTGAAAGTGGAAATGTAAAATAAAGGCAAAAAAAAATTAAATCCTTGATAAGTACCCCCCCTTAGAGCTCTTTGTCTAATTAAGTGGCCCTTGTCATACACTAAGAGCACTCTCTTGAAACAATTAATTGCTTATTGCATGATGCACATGTTACAAATTAAAAATTACAAACCTGAGGATTCTTCTTCTGCTCAGCTTGAGTGATGTTTGAAGTGTGAAGCAGTCTCGCCCATGCTTCAGGCATTCCCTGATAAACAGACACATTAACTCATCAATGGATGGTAAGAAAATCTCAAATAATTTACATATTAAAAGACAGTTGTTCAAACCAGACAGCTCTCTCTGCTTCGTTTAAAACCAAACTGGCTTTACAATCTACACAAAAATGAATTGTAAATTATTTCAACTCTTTTCACATTAAGCATTACACATTCTATACAGAGGGCGTGACTTGCAAACCAATTTGAGGATCCACCATAAAAACAAAATGACTAAGTGCAGGATAACACTGTTGCACTAAACAAACCACAATATGATGTATACTGACTACTAGCAAAATTTTTCTGTATTGTCAAAGTGTGATCAAATCAAGTCACAGAAAATAACAGAATGAGATCAGAGAAACAAACTTTTTGTCAGAGCCTAGAAACTTGTATAACTATCTATGACTATTTTGCACACATTTGGGTGAGGAATACACTTCCAATCAATCACAATCCATAATGGGTATATACATGAGTTAGCAGTCTGGAGGAGTATGGTAATGAATGCTTCCTTTCCTGGTGATTCTTTTGGTTAATGTTAATACCTTGTGACTAGTAATGACAGTGTGAGGTTTTATTAAATGAAGATACACTTTACTACCAACTCTCCCATGGATCCTTCTAACATTAAAAGATGATGACAATATAGATCCACATTGTCAATATCTATTCAATCATGAAAATTCTATTTACATGCAACATCAAGCTAAATGTAAACGAATCAAAAAAAAGTGTCTGAGGTTATCTCCTCGTAATAAATTTGAATGAGTGATTTTGTGAGACTATGATTAACATATCTATTCCTCTACTCCTGCAGGAAAAAAAACCTTGTTAAATAAATTGTATGAATAACCATCTACAAATTCATATTTACTGTATAAAGATGTTAATATTCCAATAAAAATTTTAAAAGTAACTCGTTATATAGCTGGTATGGGTTGAAACCAAGCTGCAGTATTTAGCTCACATTCTGCCAAATCTTATCTACTCTTATCAGAGAAATTGTCTCTTAAATTCTGAGTATAAATTTATGAAAACCTCCTACAACCCTATCTCACCCAATTTTAGGATTGGATGAGAGCCAAATTTCAGGTAAAAAAGAATATTTATAGTTACAAAACAAAATGACTAGTTCATGATGTAGACTTGTCACGCCGTAAGATTAAAAACGGAACAGGCATAATTATCATTTATAAGCACACAAAGGCATACCATCAACTGCTTGCAAACTGCCATGACAAAAGGTGATTAATATATGTTTTTTGTTTTACATATCATCCCTTGAAATGCAATTTTATTGAACATCATATATCACATAAACTGATATTTCTGTGCAGAAAATAAGTAGCACTGGGTAAGACACAACATCAATGTTCAGTAAAGTTCTTTATCAAACAGTGATGATAAATTACAATTTAAGGTTCAACAATGAGGAATTCCTTTGATTTCCTAACCACAATGTGTTAAATACAGTAAATACTGCAAGCTAGTTACACAGGCACATCTCTCAAAATATTGTTTGAAGAACTAAGAGACAAGTTTATCCAAAAAATCAAACCATTGTCAAGGCTGTCTTCGATATTCTTTCCTTTTCCTGAGTCAATAGTTTCACATAAGAATTTAAAAGGATTCTTGTCAAAGTCAGTGACATTTAAACAGTGATATCCAAAGTATTTTGGCTTACTTTCAGTAAAACACAAGACCACACTTGAGTTACAACATACTTAATTATGAAGAATGGAAATATACTATTCCAACTTTTTCATAAGGGTGAGAATTTCCCACCTGCCTAGACAGAAATTATCAATGCAAGATTTAGATCATGATATTTGAAATTAAGGGCATCGATTTCTATACGTCTAAAGCAAGACTGAAAGGCTGGATTCTTATAACACAGATCTACTTAAGTGTAGCAATTTAAAGATTTCACAAGATTTTTAAACACAAACAAATCTTGAAAGGAAGTATATGCACCTGTTCTGAAGGCAAGTTTGGAATTTTGCATGATAGCAGCGTCGATATGATAAAAAGGCTTTTATTTACGACTTTATGGAAGCTGAACACAAGATCACAATTGAATGGGTTCCTGTTTCAAAATCACGCCATATAATGCACAATGTACATTGCAGAACATGTCACTTTATGATTCGGTATAGCACGAAACGTTTTGACTCCGTAGAGAGCAGAACACCGCAGCGAAGAAGCTGTTGTATTATGCATTTCATTTTCATACTAAACCTTCTCTCTACAGTTGCTATCGATTTAATGGCAGACGAGTTTGTTTGCAACTTTCAAGAGCGAGCAAACATCTGGTTTCATAAACTCCTAAAGAGCTTGATCAATGAATTCAAATACCTGAGGTTTTACACTGATCAATATTCTTACCCAGCTAACTATGGCCTCCTACTATGAACGGCTTCAAACACCAACATGAAAGTATCAGCGGTGTAGACAATGAACTCAGTAAGACTGCGGTAAATGGACAACGTACAGCAAAAAGTAATTCTGTTCTTGAGGCAGTAGAACTGTCGAATGACCTGGTCTAAGCGGAACCAGGAAGACCGGCGAAGTTCTTCAAATTTTCAAGACAATACAAGCAACTCTTACTCTGAAACGAATTTCTCTTTAAAGCTAAAAGGCAAACATTAGGAAAGAACAAGGACTAAAGCACCGTTGACGAACGACCAGCTCAATCCAAGCAACGGCATGAAACGGTTCGTGATGTCTGAATTAGTCGACACCACTTCAAAGCACTACGATTTATTCATCAGGAAAGCAGCTGACAAATTCGAACGAAACTCATTTCGGTTTGAACACAACACCGTGTAAAATTCGGTAAAATAAATCTCAAATTTGCAACTTACCGTAAATTCAGACGTCACTGGATCGAAACCCACGTGAATCGTGTGCTCGAACTGAGTCGGGTAGGAGATCTCTGGCTTTTTCTTCGAATCTAAGACATTCAGTAGTTATGTTATCATATTAAAGAATCGACGCCAAAAACAAAATTTTCCTTTAACTGTCAAACCATTTTTCGATTTTAAAGTAGTTAAGTTACACAGCTTACATTTCTCGTCGCCCTTAAAGAACCGAAATGTGGCTGCTTTCTTCTTCTTCTCATCAACAGGAGCACTCGGCAAAGGCTTCGAAGCAGGCGACATGGAAGAATCTTTCGTGGAAGTAAGACGCATAGGAGGGGCCGGCGGCCTTTCTTCGTCCGACATGTTGATTCAAAAAATTATCTAGCCGCAGAAATAGAGCTCCCCTAATTCAAAAGTTCTTATTCTATGGAACGCCAACAAAAATTCCGGCACTGAGAACATGCGTACCTCAGAAGTTCATAGTTTCACCGTTCAGTCGCAAGGCTGTCAGGGATGGTTTCATGACATTTGCGAGGGCGCCCTCCCACACATAGCACGGAAGGTACTGGGTACTACAATTATTATTTTTAGCCAATCACAATACAGGATAACATCGAAGAGTTTCCGGTTACCCAGAATATTTTCGCGGACCTTTTGAAATTAGTCATCAACGAAGTATTCTTCTACACATAGGCCGGGCCGGCCTTAGACGGTCCCTTTCCAGGCCCATATAGAGTCTTCCAACCCACGTCTGAGAAATTGGTACATTGATTTGTGCTATTTTCTACAGAGTTTCCCTTGTTCGATACCAGGACTTCCTCAGTCTCCTTAGTCAAGGAGTACGTAAGAAATGGTGTCGTGCCGCGCCTTCAGGTAGACTGGTCAGTGGCTGATCGCCACGGCAACGGCTGCATCCGTAACTCTTGAAATTAAAACGAAATTCGCAGAGTTTCCTTGATGTTTAAACAAGGCATCCTGTTGTTTAACTTCCATGTTTACTCCTTTTAATACCGTTAAACAGTGTCCCTTTGTTCGTGGACAAACAGCAATAAGTTACGTAACAAAAGGATACTGTTGAGAGGCGTGAAATATTTAAAATGGGTATGGTACCGTTGATTGTGATCGTAGGTTGTGATGCGATCGAGAATTTGATTTTACAATTGGCGCAACAATAAAGCGACAAGACCAAACTTAAAATATATTAATAAATCAATAAATAAATAAACTGGAAAAAAATTTCAATCGAAACTTTTTGAAACATTTCGCTTTTAACGTCACGACAAAAACCCATAAGAGATCTCTGATGCTGATCATACGGTAATCCTTTCCGGTCACGCTTCGGCTTAAAGGACTTACAGCGTTCAACACAATTAATCAGCTGATAACTCGCAGTTGTATCATCTGTTTTAAAAACTGAGTAAACTAAATACAACCAACTCACCCGACCTCACTTCCAACCCCTGCTTTTTGTTTTGGCAGGAAAATGCGAGGATGCATGAGAAAGGGAGGGATGGGTGCTAGTTGAAGTGTTGACTTTGTGGCAAATATAGAGGGAAATCACATTACTTTTATTTATTCCTTTTTTTAATTTAAGTCATTTATTCATTGGTGAATTATTTCAATCGTTTGTCTATTGACTCTCTCAGTTCTTTCATCTGCTCGATGTTTGTCCTATCATTACTTTCGCCCACTCGGTAGGTTTGGTAAAAGTTTTTGTTCCCTTATTTCCCAGTTTGTTCGTTGATTCATTCAAATAAATTTGTTGAAAGTTCCTTAGCCCATTCCTTCCATCGCCTCGTGGCAAAGTGTATACGGGTATCGAAGCGACATAATTGCTTGACAATAGCTTCCATTCTAGAAGCGGCATAAATCTAAATATTCACGTTTAGAAAATAATTGAAGAGAGTCGAAAAACATGCACGATTATAGAGATCACAATATTTGACTCGATTCAGTGATAGGTTTATGATCTCAAACAAGGAGTCTCTATAACCGGGCGACTGAAAATCGAATGATTTCTATTAGTTACATGGGCCAGGGAAAGACCCGGTAAAGTTTCCGCACAGCTCCATACTATTGTAAAACAAATCTGTTTTCCCAATGGAAATGTATTGTTTTTGTCATTGTTTTCTCTATTCAAGAACTGAATGCACAATTAAGCATGGGGCTGTGCGGAAATTTTACCGAAAGACCCTCTAACATTGAAATATTTGTAACAGTTTAAGACGGAATCTTACAAGTTTACGTTACTTAGGAGTAGCGTGTTTTATAATTCACTTAGGTATCTTATCTGTTTGATAATTAATCTTATCACAGCCCAATCGGTTTTATTAGACCTCATTATCTAAAACCCTTTTAGCGCAGATCAACCTAGATTGAGCAATTAGAGATTCTTCTTGCGGCCATCAAAGGAAAGTACCTATAAAAATGCCTGCAGATTAAAGTGGATCCACCTTTTCAACGGCAAATGCGATTGGAAACCTGGGTGACTTTCCAACCAGATAAAACTAGCGATTCTTTGATTAGAAGGGCAGCAATACATTCAATAAAGTTACAAGTTATAGGAGATGTAGCGACGCATCCTTCAACAAATGGATGAGCCAACGAGCTGAGGCCTAGTTCAAACGTCGATCTTTACATGTACCGAACCTAACGTTTCTATTAAGTACAGGTAAAGATCGACGTTTGAATCAATTAGGATCGGCAGATTTGTATTCGGATCGACAGTGCCGTTCTATCCGACTCGGCTAGTCGGATAGAACGGTAAAAGATCGGCATTGATTCATACGTCGTATTTTACATGTACCGAACTTAATGCATACATTATACATATGTTAAAATAATTATGTTTCACCCACAATTCAAGAAAGTTCGCTTACGTGCCATGCGCGAAAGCCTTTGAACCATTCAAACAATATGGCAGGAAAGGAGGAAGGCTCGTGCTCCTCTTGTTCATTTCCACAAGTTGTGCTTCCCGCATTTTTTTCCGCCATTTTGGTAGGCATTAACCGCTGACTACAATGGAGTTATGTTCAGTTTTGCAACTAGGATCGACTAAATTCGGATCGACGTTTGAATCAACTGCCGCTCTTAATTATTCGAGTCGACCCAAATTGCAATTAGGTTCGGTACATGTAAAGATCGACGTTTGAACTAGGCCTGAGTGTTTGAATCAGTGTAAGGATTACTGGCGATACTCGTAACAAAACGAATACCATCTTTCATCGTTACATCCACGGCCGAGCTTAAAATGTATCATTTTTCATATCCTACCAACTCGCACATATTTTGTTCCCACGACAATAGTGGTACAACTGATATATGATGTATAATTTTTGTAACACATTGCGGTGGGCTCAAAAAGGAGCAATTGCTTTGCTTGTATAGGATTTCTATCGTAAAATAATTAGAACTGATGACAGCTGCTAAGAAAGTCCATAAATTGCCCACCGACTAGTCCAATCAAGGATACCCACGAGCACGTGGCTGAAAAATATCAGCAAACAGTTATTAGCTGATAATCCCCGTCCGCAGTGATTTTGCCGGGAAAACTGGCGGTTGCTTTGGCGCCCGAGAAAAACAAAGGCGCCATAACTGTAAAGACAAACAGCGGAAATATTACCCTTCCAAGCCTCCAGTTCAAGTGTACACAGTGGTTCGCGACTAGAACCCAAGCGCAAACAAACCCGGCGTCTAGATTTGATATTTGTGCAGTTTGAGTTTGTGACAGAGTAGGAACTTGATTCGGTCTCACAGATCAAAATTATCAGGGAGAGATAGCCAGCTCAAAGTTCAAACTGGCGGTTTTGCAAAGACAGTTTGTAAATTTTAATATGTTTTTATTTGGAAGCCGCACATGTTATCTGAAACAGGATAATGCCTCCTCAAAATTTGTCCTCAAAATTTCCTCAAAATTTCAAAGTTCAAAGTATCGCTTCTCGGTCAACTGTCTAACTTTTGGGAGATATTTGATTCCAAGGCGTTAAACCTTGATTTATCAGCCGGCGGAACGGGCTTATTTACCAAATAACGGCCAGTCATAATCCTTTCAACTTGAATTAAAAATAATATTGTCACACCGTGAGGAAAACACTCAACATAAATAAACTCTTACTTAGTCAGGTTATTTGTATCGAAAAATAGGATAGTGACACGCGCAAAACAGTGAGGAAACAAGGCACAACAAATCAATTTTAGTCATAAAAAGTGAAGTACGGGGTATTTCGAAGCATATTTAACGATTTCTGTAACATGAAGCGGTTTAAGTCATGGGAACAGAATCTCCGGTTTCTCTCTCGACAAAACTAACAACCGAAATTCCATTGCAAAATCTAACTTTTTTATCATCTACTATCATCATTTCGAAGCGGTTGTCCATCGCAGGTTTCCGATCACTGAGGTCGACATTGAAACATTTCAGTAAAAGTTATACCTTTGTGCTTTTGTGCATACTTCTTCAGTTCTTCTCTATTCTTAAAGGCTTGAAGATAATAAATACCCCTTGACTCCTGTTATCCTTGCAAAGAAGTTGACCTCAGTACATAAGCCTTAGGTTTGCCCTAATGAAAACACAAAGCACGAGTTTTGGAAATAACTTCTCATGATCGCTCTTAAAGAATTAATAAACAAAAACTTCCAATTAGAATTGTTTGCTGTCTAACACTCCTTCCCCGATAATTTCAGTATCAACGATGTTTTTTACCGGCGTAATTAATTTGTATTTATGGTTCGATTTTATTTATTCTGAGATGTGAAATTGTTGGAGTTGCCAGCGTTTGCAAATTGTCGTTCAGTCAGGATGTACACCGCAACAAAGTCGTTCGAGAGATTTCGGCAGCCGAAAAGTGAGGAGAAAGAAAAGTGTTTATAACGCAGTACCGAAAACAACAGCTTATAAAACCAAGTGGTCGTGTACGGTTTTCGAGGAATGGAAACAGAATCGATTAGTGAAGTCCTGTACTTTGGAACCCGGCGGCCTTTTCACTTTGAAGGAGTAGAAACTTTGGACACGGTCATTACAGATATTTCTGCATGCAGTGTGAACTACTGGCTGTCGAAGTTTGTTCAAATGTTTTTGTCAACAGGCTTAAATAGGAAAATGAAGCATTGTAAAAGTAAGGTTACTCTTGAGTAATAAATATTCATTGATTTTGTGCAAGTTGTCATGGTGCATATTTAGTGGTATATACCACTCTCACTGGAGAGTAGTATACATTTTTTCATTGGGTATCCAAACACAAGCACTTGATCTGGTATACATCTTGTGGTTGGTCGTTGACCTCATGAATTATCAAAGAGTTTGAGAAGTGGTTTATGAAGGTTTCGCCCCATTGCAAGTTCGCCCCTTTCCACGGTTGCGAGCCGCCCCCTAAAGTAAAACAAGTTCCCTCCCTCCTTCACCTGTTTGCGTACAATTGTCCCAACTCGTTTCGTTACTGTAGAACATAATGCTATTCTGTCGAAAAGGGGGCCAAACGTTCAGGTATCTATAGAAATACTTTGTAAAATCTGTCAAGGAAATGCCTCGCAAGTGTGGAGGTTATAAGGTTTCTTTACA